CTGTTACAAGGATAGCTTTACCTTGTTTACACATATTTAGTGCAATATACTATACAAAAAACACAACTTATTTGTACGTTTGAATATTTGTTGGTGTTACTCCTGGGAGTTGGTGTTAAAAATCGGCTTCGAAGCGTCATTCGTTAACATGTAGGACAGGAAAGGGAAGTGGGAGAAAGCAAGGGAAGTTAATTGCGCGAAGCGTTGTATAAAATATGTAGAGACTTCCCGAAAAATTCTCAGCAGGCTGTGCAGTAACCTGAACTATCCTACTATCTCCGCCTAGCTTATGCAGCGCATTGCAGATACCTGTATGGACGGTTGGCAGACATCTTGTGGAAACTGAAAGCAGTTTCAGTGGTATTCTGAGCGTGCAATTTCTCATTATTCCTGTTTATTGCACCTTAGTACACACAGTGAGAGTAGAATGAGGTCGATATGACCAAATTGACTCCATGAAGTCTGGTAAAATTTAACCGACGTTTCGAAGGAATGTACTATATCAATCTTCAGATTCGAAGAGTAAGCCAATCAAGCAAGTCCCTTGCTTCTTTCCTTATTTCTTCTCTTTATTCTTCGATCCTAAAGTTGGAAGCAGTATTTTCCTTCGAAACGTCAGTAAACTTTTACTAGAGTACACTTTGTCACATCCCACAAGAGTCTTCCTCACACTCACCCCCGCGGTAACCTCAAGTGCAGTTCATCATAAACTGCTCATAATTCAAAAATCGGTACGTGACAAAAAAAAAATGTATCTCAGTTACGTTCTGTGAAGAAAAAAAAGTGGAACGTACTCCTGTAACAGGCCGTGGATGCCCATAGAGTTGTGAGATGTGGAGGCTTTCACATTTTCTTCATAATCGGCTCACAGATGGCGGTGAGGTTGTCAGCCTTACGCGCCCTTACGCCCGCCCTTTACCCCCCAGGAAGATTCCTCGTACACATTTCTATTAGAGGCTGAGTCGACCCCAAGGCCATAGCGCGGCTAGTAGGATTAGGTCAATTGAGAAATCCAATGACCTCATCGGGAATCGAACCCGCGACCTTACAGCTTATGGAATAGTGCCTCAACAAAATACGCTACAGAGTGCCCCTACGTTCTATAAACGTCTGAAAGATATTTTATCACTGTATATTTTACGAACACGCCTCTGCTCTTGATAAGATCTGTCAATCACAGATCTTATTTCAAAATCATGTGACTGGAACATTCTTGTTTGTAACAGGATATATGAGGAGCCGGGATAGCACAGTCGGTATAGCGAGTGGCTACGGGCTGAGCGATCGATAGGTCAGAGTTCGAGTCCCGTTAGCGTCAAGAACTTTCTCTTCTCCAGGTAGTCCAGACTGGCTCTGGGGTTCACGCAACCTCCTATCCAATAGGTATCGGGGTCTCTTTCCCCAGGGAAAAAGCGACCGGGCGTGTAGCTGACCACTCACTTCCAACTAGTGCCGAGGTCAAGATGTGGATCTATACATTCACTCCCCCATACGCTTTCTATGCGTTGTGTTTAATTAGTTAAGCACAGAGACAATTTTACTTTTACCTTAACAGGATATGTGAAACAGCAGATGGGTGTAGCGGTAAGGGTTGTGTTCAGTTCGACTCTCAGCCAATACATCGTCTGTCCTTTGGAATTTCGTTGTCTTCCTTAGTCACTCCATCCAAATTCTTCGATAGAGTCCTGCCGAATCCTTCCGAGTCAGTTATTTAAAGATCACCCTAATATTCGACGGTATGTTTTGAGATACTGAAATCGTCCCCCCCATACCGGAAAAATCGCAGGTAGTTAAGCATATGGAGCATCCTACTTTATATACCGCACGCAGTACATTAGTGCAGTGGCATTTGAATAGCATTTTCTTCCATTTCAAACCATTGTCTCTCTGGCGTCCATCTTATAACGGCGTCAGTGCTTCAGTTCGTACAGTTTCGAAAAACAGGATTGATGAATAATGAGCTAGAAACTATTTCAATGTAATCAGTCGCAGTATAATCTAATTACCGCCGTGGCATTTGCTGTTCCTGCATTGCGCGGACGATATCACTAACACAACCACACGAACACGTTAATGTCATCTATACGGGGATCTTGTGAAGTAATCTCCAATTCATTCCAGCCTCGTCAGCTCGATCAGCAAGACAGTTCACTATTTCTCCGTGCCCGCTTATATGCTCGCGCCCTATCATTGCAGTCATTCAACCCCTTAATGCATTGTGGCTCCTATACGAACCACATTCTTTGAAACTTCTCCACTCGGTGTATTTGTATGAGTATCAGAACTGCTTCCTTATACAATCATAATCAAACAACAAAGCTATGGCGCGGTGGAGTTTGTTGAAAGTCAACCGACATTTCGCAGGAACATGTCGCCTCTATGGCCATGGGTGAAGAGTAGGCCAAACAAGAAACCAGCATGAAGTAGGCATCAAGCTTATTTCAAGCCTTCTTCATGTTGGATGACATTCCGGCTTATAACATAGTGTTCCAACCGACACAGGCGTTAGCCGAATTACGGCACAGTTCACACAAACGCTGTTATTACGACGAACTAAGCAGTAATCAAAGGCGAAATAAATGAGGGGGAAATAGATGTGCACTGTACACTTGTACCATTCTCTTACACCGCATTTCTGCGTCTGACAGAACTCATTATGTCATATTTCTAAGCCATTAACGACACACCATTATATTCATTGACTGAGACATAACGGGTTACTTACATTGATATAACGAGTAAGTTCTGGGCAGTGACAAAAGCAACGAAATATCGGCAAGAGAAATAATTACAACATCGTCAGTCTCATAATTATACAACAACGCCGAAACAGGCTGGCAACAAATACTTTATCGTGAGGCTGATTATTAAGTAAATACCGATTATTGCAACAACAGTTAATTGTATACAATGGCCGTGTTTTGGCCGAAAATGAACTGAAACAGCGCTATGTAATGGCACTTCGGAAAAAAACCACACAATCATCTGAGCATTAAACAAAATCTGTGAAAATGAGATCGAAATACAATCAACGCAACATGATGCTCAAAATATATTACTGTACAAGATTCTGATATATGCATACAAAACAAGACTCTTATGCAGCAATATATATATATATAAAAAGACAAACGAACATGTTGTATTAGGTACAGGCTTTACTACTTTCTATCGGTATAATGTTTTTTCTATACAATAGCAGTTCGAGGAAAAATTAATCGTCTACTTTCCGCTCACAATAATTTGAGTATCTGATACAAGCAAAAAGTCAATAAAGCAACACAATTTGAGAGCCATCGGTGTTGGTACTATCGATGGGAGGGATTCATGAATTAAGTCGTTGAAAAGGTTCAGGTGACACGTTATAAACACCAAGTTTCATAAAGATAGATCGATGCCTTCAGAAGTCAGGGGAGGACACACAGAAAGCGAGGTGATCTCATTATCCTACTATTTTCTTTTTCAAAATAAGGAAAGTAGGTTAAGAAGTATGTTTCATTTTATAAACATGGCGTATAATTGTGTATTTACTGATAAAATGGTCTGTACCTTTTCGTCTTACATTTAAATATTTATAACTGCAGAGACTAAATAAAAAAGGAGTAAAATTTGATATTACTTCCGAAAGACGGAAAGGGAATTTTTGGCCAAACCAGTAATAATTGAGCATAGTTCATCTTACGTAATCTTCATACTACAGTACTGTAGTAGACAGTGCTTCTCATAACCAAGACAAGTAGATATGTATAGCTTGCACACTGCCATGTCCAGACAACTTACCTGTTAATTTGCGATTCCCTGCAACTCAGTAACTGCCCACTCCCAACGAAACCCACATTTCGCCGTAACTGTCTATCTCAAGTTCTTGATCGGGCACTGTTTAGGAAATCAAAACTACCACTATAAAACATATTTCACTGAAACACCCACCGCAACAGCTGTATGTTCTGCCGCGCCGAGAGCCGGAAAACAAATGAAAATCAGAGAATCGATCTCGATAGAGACATCGATTCAGGTTTTAGTTCCTAATATCCGTTACCATCCAATCTTCATACAACTACCCTGTCTAAAATAATTAGTGAACAATATGGTAACACGGCAAGATATTTGTTCTCCCCCATCCCTTATCATTTTCAACGACGGCTTCGATAAAAACGAAGAGCATATAAAACAACCAACGATTATATCTACAAATGAAAATAAATGTTTTGAGCACTTTCTCAATTTAATTTGTGAATTCTCCTACAGGTGTCATTTCTTTTTAAAATTAAATTTTATAATTAAACCAATATATAATGTCGAATTTAGCGCAGTTGGTTTCGGCACTATGCTACAACCCGGAAGGTCGCGGGATCGAATCCCGATGAGGTTAATTTTTTCAATTTAATTAATCCTTCCGGTCGCACTATGGGCCTGGGGTCAACTCAATCTCTAACAGAAATGAATACCAGGTATATTCATGGGGGTAAAGGATGGCCGGAGCATAAGGCTTACAACCTTACCGCCATCTGTGAGCCAATTGTCTAGAAAATGTGGGAACCTCAACATCTCACAATCCTATGGGCCCCCACAGCCTGTTACCAGGATACCTTTACTTTTTTTTTTACTTATAATGTATATAATATATAGCTATACTGAAAGAAAGAGACATTCCAAATGACCAAACTACATCAAGCAGGAACCAGAGTCAGAGATGAGATGAGGCTGTCTCGAGAAAACAGCACGTAAACTTGTATGCTATGAAGATGCCATGTGGCAGTGAAGATGAACACATTCTTAAACTCGGCAGTTTATGATGAGTGGTCAACTTCACAGCCCGTCCACATTATCCCTACATAGACAGACTTGATCATTTTAATATACTTGGCAAAGAATACAAGTTATTAAGCTCCTCATTATGCATTTTTCTCCAGCCTCCTGTCGCTTTATCTCTCTTCAGTCCAAATATTCTCCTCAATACCCTCAGTATTAATATACAATGCTTAAAGCACAGCAGGAGATGAGGCAAACATTAATTTATTTAGATTTAACAGAATCATATTTGATGTACAAGGGTTGGACTATTATGGTGAGCACATGAATTGCATCTTTGATAATTATGAACATAAAAACCCTTGTGAAAATGCAGTTACTTGCAATGTGACACAATGTAATTTGGTACATAGGTAGCAATGTTTCAGAGGCATCTACTTCCTTCTACTCTATTCTGAAGATGACAGCACCAAGTACATGAGAAACACTGGTATTTACCTACTGTCCAAGTTTTCAGACATGGCAGTTCTCAAGACATGCACAGTGGATCTGGTTGAGTCGACTGAGATAAGGACTGTACAGTGTGTATGGCTTATAGCAGGGACTTACTTAAGAGTGCATTACCTTCCTGCTTACCCAAAATGCAGATTAAACTCCTGCCCTGCTACTTCCTGCCACACATCTTCTCACTTCTGATCCTCACAACCCAAAAGCCATGTCTTAAAACAAGGCCTGTACCAAACTACACCATGTCATGTTCCAGAAGTTAGTGATCTTCATGTACACTGCCACAAATAGTAACAAAATGTTTTGTTTATTAATCTTCAGACTGCCAGATTGCACACCATATAGGCTGAAATACATGGAATGTGCATCAAGCTATTCAGTAACAGTAAGTAACCATCACACCAATCACTTGCTGTTTGTATGGCTGCCAAAAAGAAACCATCAGTAGTTTCTTAATGACTCGTAATAATGGTTTTAATAACTAACAAATTACACCATGAAGCAGTCCTTCTTGAGAACTAAACAGACACTCACCTACTCTAGAAATCACCCATCTTTCATCACCATGTTCACCAGATCTTCCTATTGGACCATATTCTGAGCCACAAGAATGCAGTCCACATCCTCCCACCCTATTTCTTTAATATCACTTTCATACAATATTATCAATCCTTCGCATGACTAGGTCTTCCAAGTGGTCTCCTCTCTCTGGTATGAGTGATCTGAAGTTCTCTTAGCAGGTATACTAGGATTTTGATCTTCTTGGGTGTGACCCTGTGTATTGTCACAAATAGGTACCAGCATTTGTGTATAAGGATCTGCTTCCCCCATCTTCAGGGTGGAGAAGTGTGAGGCAGGAGGTTCCTCCCAGATGGTGCTATCATCTATCAAACAATACAGCGTCATATTGCAGTAGGTCAGTTTTCCCATTCACATTTTAAGACCAACATTCTACATGCATTTCTGATCCCATGCCTGCTACATGGCCCATTATCTCATTCTCCTTGATTTCATCACCTTAGCGACATTTAGTGAAGGGTACAAATCATGAAGCTCCTTGGTATGCATTCTTCTCCAGCTTCCTGCTATCTCCTCCATCTTAGGTCCAAACATTCTCCTTAGCATGGTGTTCTCAGACACTCTAAATTTGTTAGGTATTTTAAACTTCACATTCATTCTGAACTGAATGGCCATAAGCATTCCCTCAATTTAATCTGATCTACAGTTCTTCATGATGTAATTTGATTTGTTCCATTCTTCCCAAATATTTAAACGTCACACTTACCTTTACAATTATAAATCACTCCGTCCAATGTGACCTGTAAGTTTTTTACTACATAAAAACAACACCCTTACATGTTTCGGTCTCTGTGGACCATCTTCAGAGGGCAAACATCACTACAAATAGGAAACCACCATCACATAATTTGTTTACATGTAAAGTACGTACACTTATATGCTACAATACATAGTACACAGAATAGAACATTTCACAAACACAGCAGCTTCCTGGGAATGTAAAGTCCTTTAAAAAACTGTATAAAATTCCCTGATGCTAATTAAAAGTTTTTTAGATTGTCAATAATTAAAATTCGTAAACCATGCAGGCTAGTGTTCATCCTCCCATCGTCTCTCTTATATAGGGCAGATACTGTGCCACCTGGCTATCTTGATGTGGAGGTTCTTTATATCGTCCAGGGTTTGCTCGTGGCTGCTGTGCTGTTTTCACTGTTATCAGAACAAATCAAACTCACACTTACCTGTCTTTACATCATATTGTAATAAGGCAATTTAACTGCCAGCCCAGTTTGTATAGTGACTAGGCTACAGATTGAATGATTTGTGTTGGATTCCCAGCAGGGGCAAGAAATTTTTCTTTTCTTCATAGCACCCAGAGCAGCTCTGGGGCTCACCGAGTCTCCTATGCAATGGGTAGCAGGGACTCTATCCCTGGGAGTAAAGTGACAGGGGTTTGAAGCTGACTGCTTCGCCTCCATCCAGTACAGATGTCAATAATGGTGGAGCTGTACACCCATTTACACCAAAAACAACTGGAGAATGTGAAATGTTTTAAATATTTGGGTAGTTTGTTAACAGATGATGCAAGGTGTACTAGTGAAATTAAATCCAGGATTGCCATGGCAAAAGCTGCATTTAGCAAGAAGAATCTTTTTACCAGCAAACTGGACTTAAATTTGAGGAAGAAACTAGTGAAATGCTACATTTGGAGCATAGCTCTGTATGGGGCTGAAACATGGACACTTAGGGCAGTAGATCAGAAACATCTGGAAAGTTTCGAAATGTGGTGTTGGAGAAGGATGGAGAAGATCAGTTGGACCGATTATGTGAGAAATGAAGAAGTGTTAATTAGAGTCAGTGAGCAGAGGAATATCCTACATGAAATAAGAAAACGGAAGGCTAATTGGATTGGTCATGTTTTACGCAGAAACTGCCTTCTAAAAGAAGTTATTGAAGGAAAGATAGAGGGGCGGATAGAAGTGACAAGAAGACGAGGAAGAAGACGTAAGAAGATGCTGGATGACCTTGGGGACAGAAGAGGATACTGTCATTTGAAGGAGAAAGCTCTAGATCGCATTAAGTGGAGGAATTGTTTTGGAAGAGACTGTGGACCTGTTGTCTGACAGATTACTGATGATGATGATACACCCATTCCCCCAACCCCCTCAAGGCACAGTGCTTAATCACATACTTAAGTACAAGGACAACTTTACTGTTCTTTCTACCTTCAACTGGAAATATTTGTTCCAGTATTTCATGCTGAAAGGAGTGGCTGGTCATTGCAACTGTTCTTCCTGAAGCTCTGCAGCACTACTAGCATAAGATGTAGGAAGCCGACATCTGTGGGGTATACGTATGAGAAATGGATTAAGGTCTGTGAATCTGTGAAAGTGGCAGATGTATTGCACTATTTACCATTCCAGTGTTCCTGCTGAAACTTTTAACAAGCATTTTAGTAGTACGTTATTAAACCATGTAACATCCAAACCATAAAGTAAGAATTAAATCTGTCTACATTTCAGAACCTACTTCATTTTTTCTCCCTCTGGGCTCCTCAATGTGGTCGAGAGGTCTGAGTGCTCTGATTACCTGGACAGCTACAATATTACTGAAGGTGAAACATACTGCTAGGGTCATCCATGCTACATGGGTTGAAGGGTAGGAACCACATGAAAGCTTGTCACAAGTGGGGAGGGGTTTAGGTATCTCATTTCAGAAAACAGCATAAGTTAAAAAGTCCAAAGATGAATGTACAAGGCAGATGTTACTGAAGAATGGACATCTGTCATAAAGGGGGCTAAGGTTCTTAGAGGACAGCAGAGCCAAGTAGTAAATAATGCCAATACTTTGTGTCTCTCTTTAGCTCTCATGAAAAAGTATCAAGAAAGGGTCTCTCCTCCTCCTCCTCCTTCTAGCACAATTTCCATTTTATATGGGTTAAAGGGACAAACGTCTCCAAATGTATACAACATAAATTGTCTTGTTAGATTTGAGGTCCTCACAGCAGTGACTACGGTGACAGCCTTCTTCTGGGATTGTAACACTGTGTAACTCAGTAGAAGCCCACTGAAATTTTGGAGAAAATACTGCCCCCTTATCCAGGATCAATGGGTAAAACAAGCAAGAAACCAACAAAAAGCAGGCAGCAAGCAGAGTGTAGGGGCATGTAGCCAGGTAGAAGCCCACCTATGTTTCAGAAGCATTCAGAAAGCATTCAGGATTGAACCCAAGGCTCCGGAGTGAGAAGCCAATGTCTGATCTCCTGAGGCATGGCACAGTCAGGTATTAACACTTACAAAATATGGAGGGGGAGGGGATATAGATATGCTGAACTGTAGAGAACATTCAGAAAATTAAAATGGGATTAAAGATTGTATACACACTTTAAACCGTCTCTATATCGAAATATATTTTACAAAACGAAATCACAATTTTTTGTTAAGAGTGAGATTGGCTGTCTGTAGGTGCCAGCTGTCTGCGTACAGCAGAGCGCTCACTGTGGTCACTGTACCAGCAGTAATGTCCAGTCAACATCCTCTTTCAAGACAGACACAAGCCTAGACTCCACATCTGCTGCACTTACAGTCCTTGTGGAATCAATCACTGGAAGTTTGCAAGATTCAACTTTTAATTCCTTTGGTTTCATCAGTTCAATTCCAGATGCCCCATCTTCACTGTCTACCTCTGAATCTTCTGTCTCCATTCTACTTGCTTCAGACATCTCTTCATGTTTTAAAGTTGTTTTCTTTCCTGCTGTTTGCCTACAGAACATGGAGAAAAAGTAATATTCACTATCATATGTCAGCACAGATGTTACTTAATTATGCTGAGTAATGAAAAATGTAAATTGTAAAGATCATTTATAGGAAACTGTTACGTGGTTACTTACTTCAAAGAACCTCTGTCACAAATGACACAGAATACGATATATCTTTTGAGGCACAGGTGATGGGGGGGGGCAAGGACAGTGATGGGGCTGTGGCAGTCACCTACTCCAGTCCAAGCCAATGGGCCTGATATATCACATTAGGCCATTCAAAGTGTAAATGAGCTAAAATATTAATGTAGCTTGGAAGTTTGCCCTCTGATTTGTAACAGAATAGGGAACATGGATAGCTCAGGCGGTATGGCGACAAGCTATAAGCTGGACAGCCAGGGTTCAATTCCTGGATGGGGCAACAGATCTGTCTATTCCAGTGTCTAGACAGGCTGTGGGGCACACCCAACCTCCTATCCAATGGGTACCAGGGGCTGTTTCCTCGGAGGTAAAGTGGCCAGGGTGTAAAACTGACCTCTCACATCCATCTAGTGCTGAGGTCAACAATGGTCGAGCTATACGTCCATTCCCAATACACCTCCATGGTATGGTGCTTAATTACTGAAACGCAGGCACAACCTTACCTTTTTACCTCCCTAAAACAATGCACAAACAATGATGCGAAAGCCCTAATAGTCATTCTGAGCCTATTCTTCTTATTATTAAAAGCAAAGAGAGCTTAATGGTATAATCATGTCTGTCTTGCTCTTCCCCTGTATCTTCTGTATCATCAAAGGATGAACTTGGTTTGATGATCATTCCATTAGAGGACACTCCATCTTTGTTCTTCCTAAATCTCCACCACCAGTGAAATTAACACGGTAGCCATGCTAATTTCCAAACTTGGATCAACAGTAGTGCTACTTAAGGTAGGATCCTGAGATTTAGTACGAATGTATAAAGGTAAAGTCGTCCCTGTGCCGGTCACGGTAGCCGAGCGATCTAAAGCATGTACCGTCTTCGCTCGCTTGGAAATCGGGATCGTGGGTTCGAATCCCACTCAGGGCATGGATGTTTAGTTTGTGTGTGTGTTTTACTGTGTTTGTGTACAGGTAGAGGCCTTGCGACGAGCTGATCACCCGCCCAAGGAGTCCTACCGAATGTGTATGATCTAGAAAAACCGAAGTGAACAGAGAAGTTCATAGAGGTAGGCTTAGGCCCACTGGGGCTGTAGCGCCAAGGAAAAATAATTAAAAAAAAAGTTGTGCCTGTGCTTAATTAACTAATTAAGCACTACGCCATGAGAGCATATGGGGGAATGGATGTATAGACCCACGTTTTCTTGATCTCGGCACTAGTTGGAGGTGAGTGGTCAGCTTCACGCCCTGGTCGCTTTACCACCGGGAAAAAGAGCCCCTGGAACCCATCGGATAGGAGACTGGGTGGACCCCAGAGCCAGTCTGGATGACATGGAGAAGTGAAAATTCTTGACCCCACCGGGACTCGAACTCTGACCTCTTGGTCGACCAGCTTGTAGCCAGTTGCTATACCGACTGCAATATCCCGGCTCTAGTGTGAATGCATATCTTTAAAAAATACGCAACCCTTATTACAGTAAATTAGCCCGTAGAATGAATCAAAGTATAACAAACGTATACTTGGTGCACCAAGCATAAGAGCATTTAAGCAGTTCTGGCACTGGTCAGATGGATGGAGTACAGTTTTTGTAACCAGCCTTCAACATATTTTCGGAACACATAAAAATTAGTATAACACCAAAAACTTTGCTACTTACTTGACGTCAGAAGCTACAAGTGAGTGGAGAAGTGGACCACACAGTAGACTTACTGGCGGCATTGTGTGGGCTGGAGCGCTCAGCAACTGCACAGAAAAACAGGCACCAACATAACTACGTGTAATTACAAGGTGTCCAAGCAAAACACATAAATCCCACTTCTCTATTGCGAAGATCCAAAGTCTGGCAGATCTATCACTATTACTGCTGCTATTTTATTTTGGTGCAGTGTTATGTTTAATTTGCCGGGCATAACTTCATACACAATGTGCAAATTGAATTACTGGGTTTTTGGGCTTTTCCACAGAAAATAGAAAACAAGGCGTTTCGGAAAACGGATCTGTTTCCGACCTCAGGTGAGAGGGGTGGGGGGGGGAAGACACCTAAGGTGGGAAACAGATCCAGTTTTCGAAATGCCTTCTTTTCTATTTTCTAGAATAACGGACGAAGGAAAAAGTCCCAAAACCCAGTAAATGTGCGTTATACACCATCGTAAGAACCCGTTCGAATATATAATGTGCAGATGTTTACGAGTGAACCAACAGGAGGCAGAGAGAGAAAACAGAAAGAAGAGTGGCCCTTCATAAGGTCTTTTCCCAAGGGCAGAGTTATTGTGAGAAATTACGGTTCTGAAGCAAGAATGAAACAACTTTATCATATACATGAAACGAACAAAAGATGAAAAAACAAAAATAAAGTGAAAAATTCAACCAATTGCGGGTAATGGGCTGCCAAAAGAAAACGAGTAAGGAAAATTGGCCCTATTTAAGGGTCGAGTGACTGAGCAAAATAATGTTTAAGAAGCAAGAATACAAATATTCTGCAGAATGTTGGTGCCGGTATTCGAAGAGACAATCACGTAAATTTCTGTAACAGATATTTATTGCTATTGGAAGAAGAGGATACAGAAGGGCAGGCAATCAGTGTGTTCGGTAAGTGGTGAGGTACTGTGAGGACCTAAGAAGGGCTGTAACTCTAAAGCCGGGTCCAGACTTATTGCGTATCAACCGATGCAACGCGACAAAATTTCTCCTCCCAAGAAGGCAACGAGGAAATGACGAGCTGAATCTGTTTCGAGCCAGATTTCAGTCAGCAGTGACTACACCTAACCTGACGGTAGCAGCGGCTGCGTACGTCTATCTTCACTGTGCTATAAAGGAAAGAAGAAAGAAATCAGGACGTTTGTGGATATCACCGATCTATGACAGAAGGGAAGCATACAGTGGGTCCCATCTGTTGGTGGACTTAAATTTTCAGTCAGTCAGCGGGATGTATAAAAATTTCACAAGGATGCATCCGTCAGATTTTGAGTTGTTGATAAATTTGATCGGGCCGAAAATTTTTAAAAAAGATACCGTGTTCAGAAAAGCAATTCCTGTTCAGGAAAGACTGGCTGTAACACTGCGATTTTTGGCAACCGGGGACTCATACCTCTTCAAAATATCGAAGCAAACAATCGGCACCACTGTCCCTGAAGTTTGTGGCGCTCTTGTGGAAGCACCGAAGGACTTCATTAAGGTTAGTGAATACTTGTTATTAACCACTAAATGAAGGAAACAATATGGTTTCTTGTTGCTTGATTACTTTATTTGATATTTCTGAAATAAAATAGAGCTTGCACATTAAAGCAAAACTAAATGTGAAATATTGATTTGCTTTAATAATTTAATTTTGATGCAAGTGTTTCTGCATTAAAGGCACTTGTGTAAAATCGCTACATCAACACATTTATATAAGGTCCTGAATAAGGAAGTCGTCTTCTGAGGCCGTAGCTGGTGAAGGAGATTGAGGGGAGGAAACTGCTGAAGGTGTATTCAGGACAGGCTGCTGATTGTTGCTGGGGAGGAAGAAGAAGAAGTCGGGTAGTGGGCATTTGGTGGCCCTTTGTAGTAGAGGAAACAATCTGGGCCTGTTCCGTAAGTCGCAGTGTTGCAATTTTTACAAAAACCACTGCTTGCCCCAAGAAAAACACTCAGGATATCGTTCTGGATAGCATAGCGAATAGATTCGTCGTGTACTTTCAATTTGCAGGCGACCAAATTTCCAAAGTGTTGGCATTCGTCGCGATGCAACGCGTGCACGTCCAGACTTGCACCACTGCAACGCGTGTCGTCCCTTTGATGCGACCGGAAAAGACCCCTAAGTGAGCGAACAACCCGTTGCCTATCACCGTATCACCATTTTGCAACGGAAGGATGATACGGGGTACCGTCCACACTGATATGATACAGGGATACGCAACAAGTGTGGACACGGCTTAAGGCAGGGCGAGCCTGATGAATGCAGGCGAAGCTCCGGCCGCAGAGGCTGGCTTGTAGCGACAGCGGTCCTCCTTGCGTCGGCAGCCGGGTGACTGTAGGCCGGCCACAGGGTGGTAAGCGCTGACGGTGGACTTCCCAACGAGTTTCGGTGACCGCTCTGAGTCGGCTGACGGTGTTGCTGTGTGCGCTCCAGATGAACTGTCTCGATGTAAGAGCAGTTCCGACTGACTGACTGACTGACTGACTAGCAAGTCAAAGTGAAAGTCAAAGTCATGTTGCGACTGACGGTCAGTCAGTCTGTCTGCCTTGGTGTCGAGCCCCGATGTTACTTTTTAAGTGAAAGTTACTGTCCTGTCCATGTGGGGCGCCCTCTCTGACGAAAGGTCGGGTCTGTCATTTGTCAGTCATAGTCGACAGTATTAGTCCATTGTCACTATGTACACTTATTTACAATTGAATCTTTGTATCTAGTATGTATAATACGTAGGTAAGTCAATAAGTAAGTTACAAATGGGAAGAACTTAAACAAATAAGAGTACTGATTTGAAAAAGGCTTTTAATTCTCAACATAATCTCCCTGTACATTGAGGCACTCGCCCCATCGTTTCACAAGCCTCTGAAAACCAGCAGCATAAAATTCTTTGGGCTGCAGTCGGAACCAGGCGGTGACTCGGTGACTCGGCACTTTCCCCAATTGCAGCAGGTGTGGAGCTGGCCACCCCCTCGAGATCACAGATGATTTTAAATAGCCTCCTGTAATGCTGATCCGCTTCGGGGTATTGTTTCACCATCTCCTTGTATTCTGCTTGTAGTGAGGCACGTTTTTCTGTCCAGAATGCATGGTACCCAGGCACGGAGGCGCCCGCCATGTCTGGCACGGCACGGCACTAAAGTCACCTAACTAGTACCAACTTTGGTATAACACTCCACTTCCAACCTAGCAGCCTCTCGCCAGATGAGACTGCGACTGTTTTTTCCAATCTCAACGAAATTAAACCACAAATTTTCTAGCCCAACAAATTTTTCAATGAACCATCAAGTCTACCACCACCAATACCACGGTTAATACCTCCTGAACGACTCCCGAATCTTTTCAATCTGATCGATCCAAGCCCGCTCAAAACCTCACACATACAATCTGTAAATAAACCGATCAAGTCGTGATGATTCTGAAGAAGCCACCAACACACTACAGCACACCATCTCACACCAATCACCAACACACTAACCATATGATCAATTTTGACTGACTAGCGCGATGTGGTCCGCATCTTTATCCTCTGTCGCTAGCGGCGCCCGGCCCAATAGGAGTTGGCGCTGCCGTGGTCCGCGCTGATTGGCTAGCGCTAGGAGATGCGATGTGGTAGTCTCCCACAGTGCTATATCATAATTAAGAAAAACCACCCCCCCTTTCCAAAGGACGAAGAAATAAAGATTGAGTAAACAGAGAATTCAACTAACTGAAGGAAAAGGGAACCAAAGAAAAAGACTGAGGAAGAGCGACCATTTTAAAGGGTTATTTTCAAGTGCAGTGTGAATGAATTCACCGTCAGTTCAATCAGTAGCGTAATCAATACACTGACTGAGCTATTCCGGCTCCGATACGAACCAAAATAATATCCATCTCAAAACTTTCACTGTAATCCCCGAACACCAAATTTCACCAAAATCCAACCAAGTGATTTTGGAGCTGAAACATTGTATGGGCATACAGAGAGACATAACCTCTTTGCTATGTGTTGCGTTCATTTCACACATTTCGTACAGCTAATGCAAAGAAGGCAGCGCCATAGCTCAAGCGGTTAGTCGCTGGCTTCCCACCGCGACGGTCCGGGTTCGATCCCGGATCTGGACAAGGGGGATTTGTGGTGGACAAAGTGGCGCTGGGGCAGGTTTTCTCCGAGTACTGCGGTTTCCCCTGCCAATCTTCATTCCACCAATTGCTCCACAATCACCCTCACCTATCATCTGGGGCTGGTACAATAGGCCAGAAGTGGCCGCAGTACAAGGGACTTAGTCCCACCCCACTAGCAATAAAAATAAATAATAATATTGCAAAGAACTGCCGCGTGACTCATTCTGTGATCCCATCTAATCAACTGAAGGCAAATTTCTGAAAGAAGGCAAGTAAATGTATCCCCAGTGTAGCAATTCCGGTGCCCTTGAGTCCTGTAACTATCTAGAAAACAATAAGACTTGCAGAACACTTGGCATAAAATGTTGGTTTCATTTTCTCTACAATTTTAGTTCAAAACATAATTTCGCTCAGATAAATATGTAGCGAGTTACGTTCGAGATGTGCGCAGAAACGTGCGTAGGTCTTCACGTATAAAGTGTCCGATACTGTCCGATTTTAGAACGTGTACATAAACTACAATAAAACGCAACAATATCAAATTTAATAAAAATCTGTTCCGCGGGTCTGGACTTACTATGCATAGACAGCCAGGTACGGTAAAAGTTGAAGTTGCCCCTGTGCTTAATAAATAGTTAAGCATTATTTCACGAAGACGTATGGGAGAGTGGAGGTATAGCTCCACCTTTCTTGGCCTCGACATTATTTGCACGTGAGTGGTCACCTTTACGCCCCTGCCACTTTATACCCAGGGGAAAAGCCCCCGGTAACCGTTGGATAGAAGGCTGGGTCGGCACCAGAGTCGGTCTGATCGCTGCGTAGAAAAATCTTACACGGTCGGGAATCGAACCCAGGCCGTCCAGTCCGCAGCCTGTCGCTTTACCACACAGACAGCAAGATAAGACGAAACTTTGCTCCACTGCAAATGCGCCAAAAGCAAGAAATGGAACAACCTACGCATATCATAGCC